TGCTTGGAGCTGCCCGGGTGCAACAGAGGAAAGGACATTTTGGGGATGCTGCCTGTGCTACCAGGAGCACAGGCTGGGCACACAACGCTGGGCAGGATCCAGCTGGGAACCAAGAACCCCTTTGCCAAGCGCCCACTGTGCATACCGCTCCCGAATGCCAACCCCATCCCATGGTCATGGCTCACCCTCCTTCTTGTCACCCAGGTGGCTCTTGCCCCGGGTCTCTGTGATGTCCTTGAAGGAGAAGAGGAAGAGCACCACCTCCCCCTTCTCGTTCTTGATGGGCATAATGTCCAGCAGGCACCAGAAAGCAGCTCCTGCATGGAGGAGAGGAGCGGTGAGGGCAGGACAGGCCCTCTGCTGCTCTCCGTGCCGGCAGGTTCACCCCGAGCCCAGGACGGGCAGCACCCCGGGGCGCCAGCGCTTCGCTGGTCTCTCCCCCGCAGAGGAAGCGGCAGCTGCAGTTCTTCTGCATGACCTCCGTGCGGGCGAAGCCGGTGAGGTCGCAGAAGCCGTCGGAGCAGTAGACGATGGGGAAGCCGCGGAGGACCTGCGCGTTGGCCAGGATGAAATTGCTGTCTGAAAGGAGAGAGACACGGCTGCTGCAGCAGGCAGGGGGCCACCCTGGGAGGCATGAACTACCGCTGCACTGTGCCGGAAGGGGACCAGGTATTCATCTCACTGTCATCTGCTCCCCTCTGCAGACCCTGCTCTCCTCCTGCAGCGGCAAAGTGCCCAGGCCTCTGGCTCCCTGCACCACTCCCCAGGCCACACATGGAGTCCCACCTCCACCGGCCTTGCCCCGCAGTTCCCAGGACCATCCAGCCCACCAAGGGCTGGCAGAGTCAGGCAGAAATGTGCACCATCACGTGAACCAGGGCCCATCTCCAGCCCAAGCTGGGGGGCCCCCAGGACAGGCTCCTGGGGTGGTCCTTCCACTCTGGCACCCCAGAGGCCCCAGCCCCGCTGTGCTGGAAGGGGAAGGAGCCCAGATATAGCTCCTGGCTCCCATCGTCACAGAGACGCGATCCCAAGCGACGCGATTCACGCCTCCCCCTCGCCATCTGCTGCTCCCACCTTCCCGCTGGGGCTACAGCGGCTTAGCAGGAACAGCAGCAAACCCGGCCAGGAGCTGCTGGTGGGGACATGGCCAGGCTGCAGCGCTGGGGCCCCCAGGGGGCCACCCTGGCTGAGAGGGAGAGAAAAAAGCCCCCAGCCCCACTGCGAATGCTTGGGCTGAATCAGGCAGTCCACGCTGAGCCAGGCAAAGGAGATGTGCAGGGGAAACACCATCTCTGCCCTGTCCCAGCACCGCCAGCACTCGTGGCTCCCCCAGCAATACTCCCACCCCAGCAGCCAGGTGGCTCGGGGCAGACGAAAGCCCTTGCCACCCCCCAAGCTCCTGCGGCTATTTTGGCACCACATCCCACCCAGCCGCTGCCAAGGCCATTGCTGGCCGGGCAGAGCAGGGCCCGGAGCAGCACCTAGCGCAGGCGCTGCGCCAGTGGGGACAGATGGCCTCGTGCAAAAGCGACACCAAGGAGCCAGCGCGTGGA